TAATGTAAAACACTCATGAAAATCATAAGATTTGTAAGTTAAACTTTAATATTTGTTTTAATTAAAAATAAAAGAATTATAAGTAAGATATATAAATCTAAAATTATTAAGATATCGGTAAAAAAAAAGTTGCTCCTATGAAATAAAAATCTTTTATTAATTTTGATTTTTACAAAAATTTGTTGTAAAAGTTGTTTTGATGTATGTTAAACAAATACTACATGGTACTTTTTGAATTAAAGCAGAAAAATGCAGCTTTGTTTAATTACATTTTTCATTTGTTAAAATTCTACCATGACAGCAAATGCTAAAACTTTTTTAAATCAAACGGACTTCAAAGGAATCGCCGAAGTCTCTAGATTGCGACGTATAATTTAAAGACTCTGAGTTATTGAAAAAAATGGAGTAGGCGAGCTTCGGCTATAACAACAATATTAGTTTTTCTCGGTATGCATTTATTATTTATTTTTAATCAAAAAAACTTGGTTCAAACCTTTTTTTTTTAACATTATCTTTAATATGAACACAACATGTGTTCATATTAAAGATAAGTTTGGATTCCTTTTAAGGTGAAAAAAATCAATTTTGACTTTTTTACAAAATAAGCTAGCTTAGATGTCTACAAACGTTGTTGAATACCTATTTCATATGGTGTTTCTGGGAAAGTTTTTGAGATTATCAAATCATTTCTTTCTAACCGGTTTGTTAAAGTCATCCTTGAAGGCCAACACTCTTTTTATTTCCAGTAACTTCTGGGGTTCCCCAAGATTCCAACCTTGGCCCTGTTTTGTTTCTTATCTACATAAACAATCTTCCTGACAACCTTTCATCTAAAGTAGCTCTTTTTGCTGATGACTCAACTCTATACTCCTGTCTTGACAAAAAGTCTTCTTTTTTTTTCGATCGCCTAGAACAAGCAGCTGATCTTGAATCCGATCTCACTTCAGTAATAGATTGGGGTTCACAGTGGCTTGTGAATTTTAACTCTAAAAAAATCCAGTTGCTTACTGCAAACAACTACCGTAATATGGTCAACATTCCTATATTAATGAATGGCAATCCTCTTACTGAGTCCTCCTTTTTACATCTTCTTGGATTATCGCTTACTACTGACCTTTCATGGAAACCATATATACAATCGATTGCTAAATTAGCTTCTGCTAAGGTTGCTTCTCTTTATCGTGCTCGCCATTTCCTTACTTCTGATTCAAATCCTCTACCTCTACAAATCTCTTATTCGTACCTGTATGGAATACTGTTGTCATATTTAGGCTGGTTCTTCTAACGATTCACTTTCTCTTCTTAACAAGGTCCAAAAACGCATTGTAAATGTTGTTGGACCTGGACTATCTGCTAAGCTTGAAACTCTTTCCCATCGTCGTAAAGTTGCATCTCTTTCTCTTTTCTACAAATACTATCATGGTCACTGCTCAAAGGAGTTATCATCTCTAGTTCCATCAACTAAAATTCATTCTCGTTTTACTCTTTCAAGTCTTCTGTCAACCGTTTCCTTGCTCTATAACTCTGTTCTTTTTTTTCCTAGTAACTCCCAACTTAATAGTGGTTGCTTGCAGCCTTGTTGGGAGTGAATGCAAATAAAAAAAAAAAAAAATTTTAAAGAGTTCTGAAAAAATTCATAGAAACTATTTGTTTCAAAAAACGTTTTACAAAGAGTTTCTCCTAATAATCTTTTTTTAATTACGTTTTTCTCGAAATACGTAATAAGCATATCAACGTTTTGAAAAAATTTTGTATAATATGAGCAGCAATCTAATTATAATTTTTGTACTCATTTTATGCATGAAAATTGTTAAGTAAAGTTATTGTTTTTTTGTGCAAAGCAAAGAAGTTTATGCATGTTTGTGAGCCTCATAACATTTGGCGCAAGCATACCCAAACCTGTTTCAAAAATAAATATGCTTATAAAAACATGCATCAGACAAATTGTAATTTAAATTAGAGTAAAAAAAAACTTTTATTTCTCAAAAAAAAGTTTTAAAAATTTTTCTTTCTTTTTAAGGGATTTATTTCGCCTCCACAGCAGCACCTTCTGGAATAGCAGGACTGTCTTGTTAAGTTTTTTCTTTATTAAGTGTCAGACAACTTTTTTCTCAGACCATCAGCAGCTCATATATATATATATATATATATATATATATATATATATATATATATATATATATATATATATATATATATATATATATATATTATATAAGTCTATTACAAATTTATTAAGTATAATCACATATAAAAAAATAATTTACTTAATAATTATTAAATCGAACATTTAGTTCAAATTAGAAAGCAGTTTTCTGATTCATACAAACAATAAATGGAAAGTTATGAAGTCATTACTGCTAAGACATAGATCATCCTACTCATATTTTAAAAATCCAGAAAATTGTCTGAATAAAAAATCTGGAACTTGTTTTCCCTCATTTTCTTTTTAATTTCAATTTTTAGCTAAGTTTTTTCTAATTTTTTTTTGACACTTTTCATTATTTTTTATGAGTGATGAGTAAAAAAGCTTAAAAAACCAATATATTACAAAAATATATACCTCAACTTGCATGCATTGAAAAAATGTTTTAAATATCTAGAAAAACTAAAAGTTGAAAAAAATATCCGGAATTCTGGAAATATCTGGAAAAAGATAATCCCTGGCTAAAAGAAAGATTGGAATGTTTACTATTTTCAAAACGTGTTCTCCGAATGAGAGTAGAGAATTTAATTATAAAATTAAAACTTGATAGAATTTTGTAAATAAAAAGTTTCAAACCGCAAATTTGAAAAGTGAGACAAGTAAATTTAGTTTAAAAAAGCAAAATTTTTAACGACAGAGTTACTAATATTTTTGTAACAACTTACTTTAGTAATAAGTTAAATATAAATTTATAAATAATTTTTTTTTAATTTAATTCTCAAGATAAATACTTTTTTAATAATAATTCAAACAAAATTTTGAAATTCAACTGTGAAATTTTGATTTGAAATAAACTTAAATTTGTGAGAACAGCTATACAATAAATGATTAAACTATCCAACATTTCATTGTTTTAATTTAACATCGAAACCGCAGTAATATATTTCTTCTGGTAGATAGACTGATGCATTAACAAAAAAAACAAAGTTTTTTCAACTGATTTCCCAGACTTCACATTAAAAAAATTCCCTTGTATGCACTGGTACGCTTTTGGGTGAACCCCTCCCCATAACTGAATATGTAATTTATAGATTATCCCATGGGGACCAATTTCCAATTTCCAACAACAAAAACGCTGTAAATCACCGAGGTTAATTTAAGATTTTGAATATTTAAGTATTTAAATACTTTAGTATTTTAAATCTAAAAATTTTAAAATACTTTTTACATTAAAAAAAATTTTTACATTAAACTTTTTACATTAAAAAAAGTTTTAAATTTTTTTTTTTTAAAAAAATTTAAACTTTTTTACATGGGTATTAGTATTATTGCTCATCATATCTTATGTTATAATTTTTGTCATTAGATAAATTTAAAAGTTAAAAAACTTATTTAAATGGATAGCTTTTAAACAAAAGTTAAATGAATGTTTTCGAAACCTTAATAACTTTAATTAAAAAACTTGGTTGGCTCAACGATTTCCGTCAAATACGTTTGTTAAAAAAACTTTGGTTGCAATAGGCTACTTTAATTTAAATAAGTAACTGAGACATTTAAGGGGCAGAGCAAGATTCTTTTACCGCACAAGGGCAGCAACTAAATTTAAGTGGCATAAAATACCTAGTAAACTATTTAAATAAAAAAATGTATTTAAAAACAAAAACTAATTTATTATTTTTTTGAATTTACAAATATACATTAAGTATCAATATAAATTTTGTATTTGTAAATTTAAAAAAATAATAATTTACGTATTTATAAATATTGATTAGTAATTAATAATTTTATTTAATTATCTTCTATGTTTTATGCTAATATATCATAAATAATATGTTTCATTGCAAGTTATATTTTTGATTTTTTTTGTTGTTATTTTGGGTTTACTTTACCAACTAATTTATTTTATTGAAAGAATTAATTTTTTTTTTATTATAAAAACATTATCAACTTATTTTAAAGTATAATATTTATTAATATGCAAATTTCATTGTAACTTTCTTTACTTAAAATATACAGAAAAATGTAAATAGAAAGTTTTTGAATAATAAAAATAAATTAATAAAATAATTTATTAAACATATTTAAAAATCTTAACTAGAGAATAACTGACGTCAATAAAAATTAAAAAAAAATTTTTTTTAAACTTTTGAATAAATAATAAATGTTAATGACGCTTGTTAATGGCGACACGTTTTTACACATTAACAAAAAATCTATCAACTTAATTCATTTCCTCGTCGTGCATATTGATTATGTTTTTATTTGTCTCTCACAATACTTTAAATCTAAGACTGATTTAATTTTTTTTTTTTTTTTTACTATAACCTTTTGAACTTTTGGGAATTTTAAACCAATTGGGAATATATATATATATATATATATATATATATATATATATATATATATATATATATATATATATATATATATATATATATATATATATATATATATATATATATATATATATATATATATATATATATATATATATATATATATTTATATATATATATATATATATATGTACATACATTAACTGACTATCTTGAAAATGACACAAGGGAGTGTCATTTTCATTAAACAAGGATTTGGGTTAGGGCAGCAATCTTTTTTTTCCCTGAAAAAATATTATGGATTCAAGTCAGCAAAAAAGTTGGCAAACGCATATCTATATATATATTATAGTTAGTGGATATGTGTACATGTGTGTGTAAAAATATACTTTATAAAACTATTTTTTTTAAACAAACCTGCAGTTGGCAAATGCATATCTATATATATTATAGTTAGTGGATATGTGTACATGTGTGTGTAAAAATATACTTTATAAAACTATTTTTTTTAAACAAACCTGCATCCCATTCACAACATTCACACGACAGCGATTGAGGAAATTAATTGTGAAGTCAACTGTTAAGTTTACCAAGAATATTAAAGCATTTGATGGCAGTTTCATTGAAACAATATCCATTAGAAGGGTTGGGGATGGTTTTTTAACTCCAACCTGCAACCAAGGCAGTTGTGCCCACATATAAGATTGCTTGTATCTTTTAAAAAAGAAAATAAAAGTAAAAATAAAAATAAATCATGAGATTTCTAGCATTATTATCTGGAATGTTATGAAGATAAATCAACCCAGGTTACCAGGATAGCATTTATTAATTACCAATTCCAATTGATTAACTATTTACCCAGTTAACCAATAGCTCTTTTTAAAACAAGCAATAAAATTTAATTTCTGTCAACTATTTATATATTTATTAGGCACATTGTCCCAAAAAAAAATATTATTTCAAGAAAAAATGAAATCTATCTTATTTTAAGAAATAACATATTATTTTAATAACATATAAAATGAAATGAGCTATAACCAATAATATCAAATATTAGGCCAATATATATTATATATAAAAAAAACACATGGATAAGTCCCCAAGCATATTCAAAAACATGCAAATTAAAGCCTAAGAAAAACCTATTTTTTTGCGATAAGCATGAGTCCCATATTTCTCTCACCAAATCAATTATTCTTATGATAATGGAATAGTTTACATGTCATTTCCACCACTTATGTCTCATTAACTTCAAACCATTGATGTTGGTGTCTTTGGACCATTCAAGTCAAAATAAAAGTAGCTTTTAATGACTGGCATATTAATCACCATGGAAAAGTGTTACGTATTTACAATATTCCAGGCCTTGCCAAACTTGCCTTCTTTGAATCATTTACTGTAGAAATTATTAAAGAGCGCATTTTTAAAATCTGGATTTATACCATTTAACAAATTAGCATTCTCTAATGAAGATTTTGCTCTGTGTGAGATTTACAGTATTTATTCAAAAAATCTAAAAAAGGAAAAAAGGAAGGGCAAGTCAAGAATCTGACAGACCAGAGAAGCAAAAACTGGAAGAGCTACAAAAATCAAAAGATAAAAAAAATTTAAAAAAAGAACAAATAAAACCCACAAAAGATCTAAATAATGCTCAAAATTTGTTGATACAATTGCAAATACCAATAAGAATCCAATTGGGATTCTAAACCTATAATTATGGAATCAAACTCTTCAAACTCTTCCAAAGAAGTTGAATAGACAGCAACTGTATTTTGATGTAACATTATAATGTAATATGATCATTAAAAAAGCATCTAGAAATGAACAATAGCCATTGTTTTTTTGTTTTTCAAGAACATTTGAAATAAAAAAAATTTTAAAAACTTTTTTTATCTTCTTTAAATTTTTTTTTAAGAATCAAACTTATTTTTAAGAATTAAGAATTCTACTATTTTTTAGAATTTGGCATTTTATTGATTTTTACCAAATCAATAAAATGCCAAAATTCAAATTTTCAGGTCGATTATTACACTTTTGTATGTCCTAAAAGTTCTTAAATCTTAAATAAAGTATAATTTTGATTTCTAAAAAAAAGTATATTTATTTAAGATTTAAGAACTTTTAGGACATACAAAAGTGTAATACTCGACCTGAAAATTTGAATTTTGGCATTTTATTGATTTGGTCACTATTAAGGTAAGTAACCAGTAACAATGAGTTGTGTAAAAATGTCTTCTTGTTCTTGAGTTGTGGTCTTCTATATTATAACACACTTTAATAGGTGTAACTGAAAACCAAAATTATTATACTGGCAGTCTTTCACAGGAAGTCATGTGATCGCACGCAATTAGATGACCACAAAAAAAACAATTTGTTTTAACGATTTAACCACTGCTTTTGACATATTTTAAAAATTTAAAAATGCGTTACAAAAACTTTCTTAAACTTATCAAAAAAAAAACTTTAAAAAAGAAAAAATATCTTAACGAAAGAGAAAATATAAAAAATAATTAACTAAAGCAAAAACACACAAAAAAAAAATAACTCATCAACTAAATTAAACTAAAATGCTTAGTCTATTTAATTTACGCATTAAAAAACCATTTCATTTTTTGTTTTAACATTTGTACTTTTCATTTTTGTTTTTTAATGTTTAAAGATAAACATTTATTATAAAAAATACATAATTATACAAGTAAAAAAAACAAATCAGTTTTTAATACTTACTATAAAAATTCATTAGAAGTGTTTTGCTACTTCATTTAAAAGCGTTTCAATAATAAAAAGTATTTAAAATCAAGCTTATTTAATTGTAACAGCTTATTAAAATATTTGTCTTTTTTTTTCAACAAAATTTTGTTTATCTTTTTAAATGTATTAACTTTAATTATTCTTATAATAAAATTCATTAAAAAGACTTTTATCGTCGTACTACAATGTTATCATTTATAAAAACAAAACAATTTTTTATTTTTGAATAACGTTTATTATAAAAAATGTACACTTATATAATTTATATATTGTAAATTAAAAAAATATATACAACTGTCAATTACACTATAAAAAAACGATTATCAGTAAATTGTTACTTTATTTAAAAGCATTTCGCTAATATAAAAACATTTTTTTAAAGTTTTGATGTAATTTATTTCACTTAAGGTATAATTCAGAATATTTTTCATTCAGCGGGGTTTTTTAATGTTTTTTGAAATAACCACGGTCAAATCGTCAAAGCAAAATGTAATTTGCCTGGTCATATAAAGACATGCCATCGCATGTATTCCTGTGAAAGACTGACTGGATTGCACTATATGTATCTAAAGCACAATAAATTTTTGTGGAATTTGTATGCTTTGTTTAAAACATACAAATCCCACAAAACTATGTGTACATAATGTGTACACAAAATTGTGTGTAATATGTGTGCATAACTTACAGCACGCATCCCTTACAGCAAAATTTATTTACCGTGTATAGAGTGCAGTATAATTAACCTTGATTAAAAATAAAAATCAAAGATTACCTAGCAATAAGATTTTTAGAATCAACAAAAGGATCATCTTTATCTTCACCTTCAAACTGTCCAAAACGTATGTTTATAAATACAGTTAGAAGAACAACGTTTTCTCCTGTTTGCAAGCAGACACGCTTGTACATTTGTAAAAATCTTTCATGCTGGGCAACATCTTCTCTAAAAATTAAAGAAACTTTTAAATATTTTCTGAAAATATAATAATTTAAAATTGGAAAACATAAACTTGTTAAATTCTGATTATGCTACCCTGATTACGCTAACTATAACTGTTTACACTTCATTTTATATTGTTTTCACTTCATTTTATATTAATTATTTACACTTCATTTTATATTAATTATTTACACTTCAATTAATATTAATTGTTTACACTTCATTTTATATTAATTATTTACACTTCAATTTATATTGTTTACACTTCATTTTATATTAATTATTTACACTTCAATTTATATTAATTGTTTACACTTCATTTTATATTAATTATTTACACTTCAATTTATATTAATTGTTTACACTTCATTTTATATTAATTATTTACACTTCAATTTATATTAATTGTTTACACTTCATTTTATTATTAATTGTTTACACTTCATTTTATATTTTTTACACTTCATTTTATATTAATTATTTACACTTCATTTTATATTAATTGTTTACACTTCATTTTATATTAATTGTTTACACTTCATTTTATATTAATTATTTACACTTCATTTTATATTAATTGTTTGCACTTAATTTTATATTAATTGTTTACACTTCAATTTATATTAATTGTTTACACTTCATTTTATATTAATTATTTACACTTCATTTTATATTAATTGTTTGCACTTTATTTTATATTAATTGTTTGCACTTAATTTTATATTAAATGTTTACACTTCAATTTATATTAATTGTTTACACTTGTATGTATGTATTTGTATTTATTAAAACAGATAATATACATGTTCTAAAGGACACGCAGGTCCAATATTGATGGACACTAACAGCGTGCCCACCCAAAAAAATAAATAAATAAATTATGTAACAGTGTACAACATTGAATAAATAATTTATCAACACCGACAAAACTTTTCAAAATTGATTGAGTTAATTTTCCTCTTAAAGATGTTGATATTATCGGCATTAACAACATCGAAAGGCAACTGATTCCAAATGTTGACAACTCGGTAAGAGAAACTAAATTTGCGAATATCTAGTCGACAATGTTGTTTGTGCAATTTATACTTATGTCCCCGAATGTTGTTTTTGTTGTCAAAAAGAAAGAACATAGATTTATTAATTAAGACCAAGTTATGCAGAATTTTGTAGCAAATCGATAAATTATGCTTTACTCGCCTTAACTCAAGCGATTCCAAATCAAGCAACTGAAGTCGGTTATCGTAGGTTAAATTGCCTAAGTGCAGGATTTTTTTTGTGAAACATTTTTGCATGTTCTCAAAAACCTTCATTAGTTCAACATGATATGGTGACCAAACTGGGGAGCAATATTCTAATATAGGCCTAATATATGTATTGAAGGCTTTTACTAAGATTCTAGAATCGCGAGACTTGAAGCATTTTAAAATAAGATATGCTCTAGTATTAGCTGCATGTACAATGTTTGAGATATGCTTTTTATAATTTAGTTGAGAGTCCAGAGTTACACCGAGATCTTTCGGAATAGAAGACCAAGCTAAAATATGATCTCCTAACTTATAGTTAGTTAGTTAACAAATTTTCTTGATGAAGCAGGTGCAATCCTATGAACAAAACACTTACTGGTAGAAATAGGTAGTTGCCATGTTTCTGACCAAAGTACTACATTATTAAGAGCAATAGCTAAATAATGGCTATGGTCCATATTGCAAAATGAACTGTATAACTTGATGTCATCGGCATAAAGTTTTAAAGAGCAATCAAGATAGTTGACTATAGCGGTTATATCATTGATATATAGTAAAAATAATGTTGGGCCTAACACGCTGCCCTGAGGAACTCCACTAACGATGCAAGTTGGGTTTGATAATGAAGTTCCAACATTAACTTGTTGACTCCTATTGTTAAGAAATGCAGCAATCCAATTTTTTAAATTACCTCTTATGTTAAATAAAGCTAGTTTGGCTAACAATTTAGGGTGTGATACAGAATCGAATGCCTTTTGAAAGTCGATATATACAACATCTGTTGTTAGATTATTGTCTAGTGCAGTACTCCAATCATTAACAGATTCTAAAAGATTAGTGCATGTAGAGCGTTTCATGAGGAAACCATGTTGATTATTGGCTATTAAGTTATGGAGAGTTAAGTATTTAATAATATCCGAGTTAATAATTCTTTCCATTGCACGACAACAGGTGCATGTGAGTAAAATTAGTCTATAATTATTAGGGTCTGGTGTTGCTCCTTTTTTAAAAATTGGAGAAACAAAAGCTTGAAGCCACTGTTGTGGTAGAATATTTGACTTAAAGCTGGCATCAAATATAAACGAAAGTGGGATACATAAAACAAGAGCTAGCTTTTTCAGAAGAATGTTTCGTATTCCATAAGATGTACTCGGTTTGAGATTGATTAAAGTTGAATAAATCGTCTCAACAGAAAAATTAATGTCTTCAATGTTTATCGAGTCATTAACAAAACTAGTAATATTTGGTGAATAGTTGTTATCGTCCGTAAATACACTTCCAAAGTGTTTATCAAAAACTTCAGCAGTTTCTTTGTTGCTAGAAGTTAACTTGAAATTATTGTCTTTGTTCTTTATAGGGTAGTTCCCTTTATGATTATTTAGTTTATTATTAACATAGTTAAAGAACTTACTGAGTTTATGGTCATCAACTAATTTGAGTTCAATTCTTTTGAGATAAGCAAACAAGGTTTGTTTACATTTGATGGCGTATGTTTTGTAAGCTTGTTTATGTAGAATGGTTTTATTAACAGAATTTCTTTTCCATAAAAATAATTTTCAACTTAATATTTTCTTGATATATTTAGGGTAATGATGACTCTTTTTACTATGACGTATTTTTCTTACCGGAACAAAACGGTCTATCCCAATTCTCATATGATTATAGAAAATGTTCCAATATTCATCAATATTGAATACATAAGAAAACTCGTAGTCCCAATTAATATTCAAAAGGTAAATTAGAAAGTTATCTATATCAGCATTGATGAAATCATAAAAATATTTCTTTTCGTACTGATATTTATCGTTAATGTTTAAAGAAAAATGGACTGAGTTATGGTCGCTGGTACTAAAAGGGCACTCAACAGAAATTTTACTTAAAAGAGCATTGTTATTAGAAAAAACAAGGTCTAAAATATTGGATTCGCGTGTTGGTTCGTGAAAAAATTGATGCATACCAAGACTATTGACAAGAGTTAAAAATAAGCTATGACATTTTTCGTTTGGTGAGATGTAGTTTAGCCAGTCAATTTTTGGTAAGTTAAAATCACCCACAATAATAAATTGAGAAACTGAGTAGCACAAATCATTTATAATTGACATCATAGAGACGAGATAGTCAAAATCTATTTTGGAATAAGAAGGTGGACAGTAGCATGTAATTAAACGAAGTTTGAGGGTTCCAAAGACCAAAGTCAATGCAGATAATATCAACATTAAACTCTCCAGTTTGAAGATTAACCATTCTAATTTTTTGTTTAAAACTTTTTTTAAATTCTAAACTTTAAAAAGACTGTTAATGAGCTTCAGAAACACGTCCGTTCTCTTCTGCAATCAGATGCAAAAAAAAACAAAAAAAACTTCATTTTATATTGTTTACACATTGTTTTATAATAGACATTTACATTTTATATTAGATATTTACATAAACACATATTAACATTCAAATTTTACAGCAATATTACTGAAGTTTAACAAACAAAGTTTAATAAACTTTTAATTGTTTTTGCAAGTCTTACTATAAACTTTTATTTATAGTAAGACTTGGACAAGTGTTACATTACTTCTCAAATTTATCTTTCACCATGTAGATTGAATACCATGTGGTTTAAAAAATATTTTTATTTAAAATAGAAAATAACAAAAAAGCGGAATACAACAAAAAGTAATTATGTTTAATTTTGTATAAATTATATAAATCTTTTAACTAATGAAAACCTTTTAAATGATTTGAAATTTATTTTAATAATCATTGTCCAACAGTTAAGGAAACAATTTCCACACAATTAAAGTTAAAACAGTTTAATTTACTGATAACATTAAAAATAGGTTTCAACTGTCATTTTTTGCAATTTTTTGCAATTTTTTCTTTCTTTTTTTTTTACATTATTTCCAACAAGGCTTCAAGCAACCCCAATTAAAGTAGATGTTACTGAAAGAGAAAATATGAAATTTATAGAGCAAGATAATGATTAACAGACAACTTAAAAGATTGCAAATTATATGAATCAGGAGAACAAGATAAAGGAAGCGAATTCCAAAGGACTAATGTTCAAGGAAAAAAACTATTCAAATAAGAGTTTTTGGAGCACTTAGGAACAGTCACAGAAAAAAGATGAGACTAAATGACAATTAACATGAGAATGAATTTTAGTAGATGGCACAAGAGATGTTCTTTAAAGCCGTGACCAATATAGTATATATAGAAAAGAGAAAGAGAAGCAACATTACGACTATGTGATAATGGTTGTAGGTTGGCTGCAAATACAGGTCCAACTATGTTTACAATGGATTTTTGCACCTTCTCTAAAAGAAAAAGAGCATCATTTGAAGTTGTGATTTTCTATCTAAAGGTGTTTTAAGGTACCATAGTATCTATATATACATACATATAAATATGGAGAGAAAGGATATCTTTAAATTATTGAGTGATTTCTTATTGTTTTTCTTGTTAGTAATTAACTATGATTAAGCTCTCCATACAGGGGGCAAAAATAAACCTTAATTGCTTATTTATTTAAACTTCTAAACCAAATTAGCAAAATGGAAAAAGTTAAATGTTTCTTTTGCCACAAGATTATGTCTAAAAATTGAAATTGAACAACAAAGCATGTTTAAAAAATTTTGCAAGAGTCCTGATATATTACTATATGAAAATGTCTAGATAAATAAAATCATCTAATTTATAAAATTTGCATGCAGTATACCTAGATGTAAAACTAACTAATAGCTAATTTAATTTTTCATTAAAAATTTAAGTTGAACTGCTGCTTATACATGTAATTTTGCTTTTAATGATCACCTACTAAAAATATACTAGAATAAAGGAAAATTATTCCAAAATTTATGGCAAAACAAATTGCTTAATAAAAGCAGAAAAACACCACCCAAAAAAAAACGTTTTTTTGCAAATATATACCCAAGAAATGTTTTTTTCCATAAATATATATATATATATATATATATATATATATATATATATATATATATATATATATATATATATATATATATATATATATATATATATGTATATATATATATATATATATATATATATATATATATATATATATATATATATATATACATTTAAAAAAGAATAACTTCTATATTACTTGAGAACAGGAAGAACATAAATATATATATATATATATATATATATATATATATATATATATATATATATATATATATATATATATATATATATATATATATATATAAAGAGAACATAAATATATATATATATATATATATATATATATATATATATATATATATATATATATATATATATATATATATATATATATATATATATATATACATTTAAAAAAGAATAACTTCTATATTACTTGAGAACAGGAAGAATAAGGTGGATGCCTTTCTGTTCTGTTGCTGCTGGCATTTGTAGAGCTTCAACATGTGTGAATGGCTTTAACAAACTTACTCTCTTTAACTGTTTAACATTAAACCCTTTTCTGCCTTCAAACATGTCAATAATATATTCAGCTCCTAAATTCAACATAAAGTAGTAAACAAACTCATCAAAATATAAAAAATATTTTCACAAGAAATTTTCACAAAAATAGTAAACTAATTCATAACTTTCATGCATTATAAAAGTGCATCAACATAATAATATCACATCAACATCATAAAATCACATAAACATAATAAAACTACATAGGTTCTATATGAAGTTGTTTTAGCAGAAAATTTATAATAACTTAATTTGCATACAACCGCTATAAAAATAACTGGTAGGCCCATAATTAAAAATAAAGCAAAATAAACATAATAATGGTTGTGCTTATGATATGAATCTATGAATGATTAGAAAATTTTGTGAAAAAAAAGAAAACTTTGTAGTTAGTTGCAACAAGTCAACCATGCATCAAGAACTCAATTTGTTTGAAGCTACTAACAAAAGATCACATAATGTAGATATGCTTTATAATGTACTTTCAACTATTCAATCATCCAATATAGATGCTGAAAGAGTATTTTGTTCAACTGGATTATTTATTATAAAATTTAGAACTAGATTGTCAAACAGTCATTTGGATGCACTGGTTTTTCTAATAGGTCGCTTTAAATCACAAAAATAATTTAAATAACAAAAAGAAAAGAATAAAAAAGTTTGTTTATTCATTTGTATTTTTTAACAAAAATAATTTTGTCGGGATCCTCATAACACTATAAATAATTCCAGCTATCCCAGGAAAGCAAAAAGTCTAGGAATTTGAAGTGAAAATTTCACAAATGACAAACAATAGTATTAAAAGAACTCGAATCAATTAATATTTTATATTTTAATGTATTTGAATAACTTCAAATCGTTCTTCACAATATAATTAATTCATTAATTTAGCAAAATATTTGTTATCTAATTTTCTTTGCACTTCCAAACCTGTTTAGCATTATTTGGAGATCTATTTTTAATTCTTCTATCCAACTCGCCCCAAACTAGCTTAACTGATATATTTCTATAAGTTTTTTCTTATTTAAATGACACACAATTTTGATGTATGTTTTGGATTAATATCCTGTTCGAATATGAAATTTGGTCCAATAACTTCATTTCGAGAAGGCAAAGCATGGCTTTGCAAAATTTGTAAATATACTTCCTTGTTAAGTTTGCTATCTATTTTTATTAATTTTCCTAGCTTATTATTCCCGAAACATCCCCATCACCATTTTTAATTGTTGGCATTGTTTACTATGGTTGAGCCCTTTTATTTATAGACTATGGGACGAACACTCTTCTATTAGAACCAAATATTGAAATTTAGATTCATCTGTCCAGAGAACATTTTTCCATTCTTCATGTGTTCAATCTATATAAGTTTTAGCCTTTCTAGTTGTTTTGTTAATGTGTGCTTTTGTGCTAATACACATCCTCTGAGATCCGCAGAGAATAGTTGTATTTCAACTGTTGAAATTGATACTTTACTTTGACAAATTTCATTTTAATGGCAGACTGTTAAACAATAATTAACTTTTAAGTTACTATTTTAAATTGATCTTCAGTTAATGTTATAATTTTGGGTCTCTCCCTGTATTTCTTGTCTTGATTATTGTTGGTTTCTTGTTGCCTCCCTAATATATAATAAATCCTTTTTGCATAAACACCCATTGTTTTCTCACTATACCCCTCACCCCTAAGTGTACAAATTACACTTTATTTATCGAATGTTAATTGTGACCATTTTGCTATTATAAAAATAAAAAATATTGCAAATGTTCCTCCCTAATGTATACTACTTTATTTAATTAGTTAAATATAGTTAATTAATTTAACATAGTTCAATGTAATTAAATATAGTTAACTAATGCAAAAAAATGTCCTTTAAAAATATTAAAAAAACCTTTATTTACATATTTACTTTATCTTATTATATTTATTTTATTATATTTACTGAACATACTGTTAAACTTAAATTAAATTTAAAAAATAATGAGAAAGTCAAAAAAAACTGTCACAACAAAAGATTTAATATAATGTGCTGTAGACAATTCCTTATAAGTAAATTTTTCAGCTTTATGATGCAGCTAAATCAACGATTAGCGTACTAGTTAAGAGATATAGAGACCATATGACTTTTAAAAGATTTTCACCAAAGTTGAATTAAATGGCATTTTGAACAAGAATTACGGTGTTAAATGCAGCATTAAAAATATACAAATACATATAAAACACTGCCTGCATTATTAATATTGTTAAAGAAATGCTTAGCTTAAATGAAATTTGCAAAAACCATTTGCATTGGACATCAAAAGAATGTTCAAGTCTTATTTTCCTATTTAAAAAAAAATTGAGTTTTGGACTTCACAAAGCTCAGATTTAAATCCAATAGAACATATTTAAGAACATGGCTAATAAAAATGATTTATTCAAGAAGATTTCAGATTGTTAGAAAAATATCACCATAGATGTTCTTATCAACTTAGTTGACTCTATGTCTCATCATTGTATTAAAAATATCACCATAGATGTTCTTATCAACTTAGTTGACTCTATGTCTCATCATTGTATTAAAAATATCACCATAGATGTTCTTATCAACTTAGTTGACTCTATGTCTCATCATTGTATTAAAAATATCACCATAGATGTTCTTATCAACTTAGTTGACTCTATGCCATTGTATTAAAATCTAGATTAGCAGTATTAAAATCTAGATACTTAAAAAAATATTGATGTATAAAATACTATTTTTTGAATTTTCTCATTTGTTTATAACATAAACTTTTGCGCCTTAATGTTTTAAATAAATTTTAAATTTTTCCTTCTGTTACAAGATATCATTTTATTTGAGTTAATTATGCTATATGATCACAGAGGAACACTTGCTAAAAATTTAATCTACTTTTATTTTTTCATTAAAAAGCAAAAAGTTATGACAAAAAAACTTAAAACTTTGGCACGCTACTGTATATTTTTATTTATATATTTATATTTATTCACTTCCAAATGAGCTGCAAACAACCATTACAAAGTTGGAAGTTACTAGAAAAGAAAAGTGTTAAAGGGCAAGGAAACGGTTAACAGAAGACTTGAAAAGTTGAAGGTTGAATGAGCCAGGAAAACACGAAGGTGGGAGAGTGTTCCAAAGCATTGAAGTGTGGAGAATAATACTCAATGAATAAAGGTTTTTAGAGCATGAAGGGACAGATACAGTAAAAAGATGCAACTTTGCTGAATAATGAGTCAAGCAAGAATGAGTTTAAGCTGATGGAGTTAAAGATGTTAGCTCTATCTCTAAGAGATGCAACCTTATGTCAATGGGAGAGTGGCTCATGTTTGGCAAATAAAACAGGTCTAACTACATGTTTTTATACCTTGTCAAGAAGAAAAAGACCATCATTAGAAGAACCAGCCCAAATATGACAACAATATTCAATACAGGGACAAATAAAAAATTAGTAGAGGTAAAGAATAGAATTAGGAGTAATAACGGCAAGCATAATAAAGAGAAACAACCTTAGCGGATGCTAACTTTACAATGGAATGCATATATGGTTTTCATGAGTGGTCAGTAGTGAATGATAATACAAGAAGGTATAAAGAAGAGGGCTCAGTAAAAAGCAAAAAGTTATGACAAAAAAACTTAAAACTTTGGCAGGCTACTGTATATTTTTATTTATATATTTATATTTATTCGCCTCCAAAAGAGCTGCAATTAACCATTACAAAGTTGGAAGTTACTAGAAAAGAAAAGTGTTAAAAGGCAAGGAAACGGTTAACAGAAGACTTGAAAAGTTGAAGGATGTATGAGCCAGGAAAACACAAAGGTGGGAGAGTGTTCCAAAGCATTGAAGTGTGGAGAATAATACTCAATGAATAAAAGTTTTTAGAGCATGAAGGCCTCCACTATTAATAGTGGAATTTCAACAATATTGCATTTTTTGCAGTAAATAATTGACTTTATTACTGCGGTTAGAAAAAAATGATTTGATAACCGCAAAAATTTTTTCAGATAAACCATAAGAAGCAACCTTATGTAGAAGACTTATGAAAAATATGTTAAGAACAATAACTCTTGCTTCACCGCCTTTTCTAATGCACAAAAGAATCTTTCAGTTACAGCAGTTAGCAAGTCAGCCATTGTATTGATTTTCAGAAAGTAATAGATACCGCTATAGACATGACAGATATAAAAAGTATTGATAATAGGAAGTACCCTTATTCTACCCTTTGGTTAGAAGGCAAATCCAACAAGGTAGCAGGACATGGAACATGTTGCACTGGATTAAATGTTACCAGTAGCAGGGTGATCATGTTGATCACATGCCTGACAACAATTACTTTACAAAAGGCTTTTTCAATTGCTTTTTTTTTTCTCTTTTAAATGTTTCATCAAAAATTGTTTTATAAATTAAAAACATAACTCTCTCTCTCTCTCTCTCTCTCAGTTCTACAGCAAAATGGTTAATTGGTCAACCAATATCAATGCTTTCCCATCTTAAGCTTCCAACGATTTTGGAAGTATTAAAATGTTTTTTCTTCCACCATGAGGTGAAAGGATTGAGTAAACATGAAAGTTCGGTAACTTTCATGTTTACTCAAATCAACTTGTGAAATTTTATCAAATCAACTTGTGAAATTTGGGAAAAAGCTAAAATTCCTACAATTCGAAAGGATAATGCAGTTACAAAGCTTGAAAAATTTCATAAAGAATATACGGATCTATTAAAAGACAGAAATAAGAAATCAGCTGTTGCTAGAAGCAAAGTAACAGACTTTGAAAAGAGAATTATGAAACTTTTTGATATTGCTCCAACTAATGTTTTTGATTTAATAAAAATTGCTGAAGATCGCGATTTCCTCATAGATCAACGAGATGATAGAAACATGGTCTTGGGTTCCATTGATAAAGATGATGCAGAGAAAGAAGAAAATAAAGTTTGCAGAAAGATAAGTTTGGATAAACGTTTGCAAAAAGAAGCGTTAAGGAAACAAAGCTCTGAAGAAGTAGTTGTTCTTGAGAATTCACCTTCGCCTTCAAGTTCTGCTAGTAGCGATCATGATGATATTGTAGTTTTGAAAAGAAAAGATGATGCTGCAGAAAGCTCCAATCTGAAAAAGAAGTGTTCTATAAAAAAAATTATTACCCCTGAAGTTGTCGCTTCCTTAGATAGAGGAAAAGTAAGCTATCGTGTGGCAATGCAAACTATAGCAGCTACAATGCAAAGTTTAGGAGCTCCCATTGAAGAGTTCTCTATATCTGTTACTACTTTTTATAGGGCAAGAACTGTTTATCGTGAAACTCATTACAATGAAACAAAAGAAAATTTCAAACCGGATGTACCTCTCGTAGTTCATTGGGATGGAAAAATAATGGCAGACATCGCTGGAAGTGGAAATGTTGAGCGTTTGTCAGTTTTAGTAACAGGGCGTGGTGTTGAAAAACTTCTGGGAGTGACAAAACTTCCTGATTCAAAAGGAGAAGCCATTGCTACTGCAGTTGTAGCCTCCCTCCATGAATGGGACGCTTCGAATCTTATTAATAATCTCTGTGGCATGTCGTTTGATACCACAGCTATCAATACAGGATCTGAGAAAGGTACTTGTAATTTACTTGAAGAAAAATTTGGAAAAAAATTATTGAATTTAACTTGTCGTCATCACATTACTGAAATTGTTGCAGGACCTGTGTTTAAAATTTATTTTCCAACAACGTCCGGATCAGATGTTGCTATTTTCAAACGATTTAAACAAGCCTGGAAGAATATTAAGAAAGATGATTTTAGCCCAACAGTGCAAGATGAAGAAGCTGAAAGATATCTTTCAAACGTCTCGATTGAAAAAAAATTGTCTAAAATTAATTACTTAAAAAAATGTTTACAAGACTCACAACCACGAGATGATTATAAAGAACTTCTTGAATTATGTCTAATATATTTAGGAGAGCAACCTCCTAGTGGAATAAGATTTAAAGCACCTGGAGCCTTCCATCATGCTTGGTGGATGGCAAAACTTATTTATTCAATTAAAATATAGTTATTTAGAGATCAGTTCAAAATGGTGCAACATGAATTAAACGCAGTAAGAGATATTAGCATGTTTGCTGCGTTAATATATGTTCAACAGTGGTTTACTGCACCACTCAGTGCCTCTGCCCCATTTAATGATTTAGATTTTCTAAAAAATATTGAGGAATATCGTGAAATGAATGAAAATATAGCGACCGCTGCAACCAAGGCAATGAAGCGGCATCTATGGTATTTAAGTGAAGAACTTATATCTTTGCCTTTTTTTAGTGATGATGTAGAGATTGAAGTTAAAAGAAAAATGATAACTGCCCTTCAGCGTCAATGCGTAGACAATAATAGGCCATCAAAGAAATTAGCAGATTTTACAAATGTAATGAGTAAATCCCTTGAGGACTTTGTAACGTGTAAATCACTTTCTTTTTTTAATTTCTTAAATATTGACATTTCCTTTCTTGAAGAGGATCCTTCAAACTGGAAAAACAATGAGTCGTATGCCGACTCTAAAGAAGTAGTGAAGTCTCTTAAAGTTGTTAATGATTGCGCCGAAAGAGGGGTGAAGTTAGTACAAGACTTTAATGCTGTCTTAACAAAAGATGAAGAGCAGCAAAAGTATGTTCTAAATTTAGTTGCAGAAAACAGGGCTGTCTTACCAGATGCAAAAAAATCAACATTGAGTGCTAAACAAACCAGGCGACAATGAGCAGCTGTTGCTGTTTAATGTTGTTTAATGTTGTTTAATAAAAATTATTATACGTAATAAGAGCTTTATATTCATTTTTATTTTATTAAAATCGAACGGTAAATAACCGAAATGTGCACAGAAAACGAAGGTCAATATTTTACTAAACTTTTGAAAATTCCGATTTTAGAGGGGTATAAAGATCGCCCCAGCGCGACCTCTAAATATTAACCGATTTGGCTGATTTTTTTGGTACAATGTTTTTTTTCATAAATGAACACATTTAGACCTTAGGAATAACAAAAATTTAAAAAAAGTTTTTTTGGATCACCCTAATATATATATATATACAGGCCTTGCGATGAATAAGAACTGCGCGACGCATAAGCACGACGTGATTTTTGACGTCATTAAATTCTTTTTATTTGCTTTTCATATTTATCAACATTAACTTCACCAATTTACTTAATTACCGCAAAACTACTTTAAATCGTTTATGTTATTATTTAAAAATGTTTTGGAATGTTTCGTTTTTTAAAATGTAAAAACATTTGTTTATTTTCTCGACGTTTGTCACGTTTTGTCTATACTAAACGAATAAAAAACATTTTAACTTAAATTTAAAAAAGATTATAAAATATGCTAATATTTGATTTTTTTTCTCGTATTAATAAAAAACTTAAACGAACGTTTTGAATAGATTTTTAATGTTAACAAGGAATTTTATTTCTAGTAAAATAAAATAAAATGTTAGAATAAAAATTTTATAGGTATAAAAAAAATATTTCAGCGAAAAAATTATTCTTAAAAATTAGTATTAAAAATTATTCGAAAAACTATTGACGTTTTATTTTTCAGCAGCTGTTCTTGAGCACGCTTCGTTGAGTTTCGGTAACTTTTAACATAAAAGCGATCGTTATTATTTAAGTAATTTTTTTGAGTTACTTTTTACAAAAATTTTAATAACAGCACTTTTTTATTGAATCAAGTAGAATACGTTTTAATATTAATCCTTTTTTTTTATTTGCGCTCACCAATTTTTAAAATGTTTCCTCGAAATTACTCTTAAATACTTTAAATACGTCTAACAGTTAATAAATATTTTTAAATCTATGGAACAATTTTAAAACCTAACAAACCCCCGTAAAATAATTATTTAAGTTTAAAATCTAAAACTAAAAGAAAGTATTTTTGTTCAATTTTATCGACAACTTTGCTATTGCTAAATAATTTTATTAAAATGTTACCTTAAAATATTTAAACTTTTTTTTTAATCTGAATTTTTTCTACTTGTAAATAATGAGCATATTTAATTTTTTTTAATTCAAACTTTTATTTCAACTGCATGCGGTTTTTAAAATACTTTATTAAATGTTAAAATAATCGTAAATTACTTCATTAAAATTCCGCTCAAAAATATCTTTAAATATACTCAAACAAAAAATTTTTTGCTCGACGCAAATAGCCCTAGCTACACGCAAAATCGCTCTTGGACGACGTAAAATTCACATCGCCCGACGCTTTATCGCAAGGCCTGATATATATATATATATATATATATATATATATATATATATATATATATATATATATATATATATATATATATATATATATATATATATATATATACATATATATATATATATACATATATATAAAAATATATATATGAAAAAAAGTCTGCCACTCCAATAATATGACACCATCAGTCACATTATGTGCACCTTAGAATACAATAATTAATAGCTAATATAAAATAAAGGTATAATATAAAAATATTTACCTCTTTGCGGATCTAATCTGCGATAACCATTAACCAGTTCATAATGATAATTTGTAGCGGGGTTATGCTGAAATTGGAGTGCTTGTTCTGCAATCTTTATTATATCACTGATATCTTTTTTGTTTGCAGAATCGTATTCAGAGACTGGTTCTGCATCTTTTTGGCCATAGAGATACTTTAGATCAAAATACATCCACTCAATAACCTCAAATCTTGATAAAGGTTTAAAAGGGTGTGGAAAACCAATCGGCCAATGAAGAAGTTTTTCAGGAACTCCTAATAATTAAAAATGACACTTTTTGACAATTATTAATTTTGAAATTTATGACAATTATTAATTTTGAATTTTATGACAATTATTAATTTTGAAATAAATATTAAATGCAATCAAAAGCTTATGATAAAGTTCATAGAATCAGTTCATTGATTTTAGTCCTTTTAAACATATACAACACTAATTCATTAGCTCTAGAAAATGGAATTGTGACTGCATACTGCAATTCCACTTGGGGTTGTACTGTGTAACCAAATATGTTGCAGCAATAGATTAAAAAAATCAACTTATTTTCATTTTATTTTCAAATAATTTTAATTAATAAAAGAAGTTCTTTGCAATTCCTATTATCTTACTATATACCCAACAAACCATTTGTTCTGAAAAAGATATTTTTAATATGTCTTTTAAACATATTAGACATTTTTTATACGCTTTTAAGATGCTTTTTTTAGACCGAATGTTTGCTGGGTAGTAGCTAAAAAAAAAAAATTCTAAATGAATAAAAAGAATTTAAACATTATGACATTTATAACATTGAAAAATTTACCTTCAGGCAGTTTTTCTCTGATGCTAACAATTTTTTGTTGTAGATAATTTATGTCTTTAAAAGTTGAATGTAAATTTTTTAAAGTGAAGTGCTTATCTATTTCAATCATCTCACGAGCAGATTGTACAGGATAAAGCAAAAGTGCCTGATTAACTTTTTCATTGTGTGAAACACTTTCTATTGTGAATGGATTAGATTTATCAACTAGAAACAAATCTTTGACCTAAAAAAATAAGACCAATAATTGTTAAAAATTGTCAACTTCTTCAAAGTAAAACAATTCAAATTGAAAATAAAAAAATTTTATCATTTTTTTAACTTTATTTAGTTTAACTGTCAGGTAGGATTTCATAGCTTTAAAGAAATTCTTACAAAACATACTCTTTTATAGTTTTAATACTTTGAAGTTTAAACTAATTTTGTTTCAAGAATACTTTTATAAATCAAAGCATTACTGCTTTATAATTACATAAAGCAGAGATTTACTATATATTTGAAGGGGCAACCAAGTCAAAACACATATTGTGTTCAGATGAAAAAAATGATGAAATGATATGTCTTAACTACATTATTATAGTATTAGTATTACAAAAAAGTTTGTATAATTTGTGTTTTAACACCAACTTTGTCAATTTGCATTATAGCTTTAATAATTCAAATGATCTAAAATAAAAAATATCTAATTTATTAAGCATATATGTACATAAAGGAATGTTAAGGATATCTATAAAAATTTTTATTTGCAAGAATATTCTCGCCAATATAAATACCAATATATTCTTTTTATTAAAGCTATAATGCAAATTGACAAAGTAGGTATTAGATTATTAATTGAGACTTGTTGTCGTAATCAGAAGCCTCCATCTAATGCTCACAAATTCAGCCACGGCTCTGATAGCTACAAAAAAACAAAATATTTTTCAATGTGAAGATTTTAGAAAATAAAATAACTAACTATAGCTAGCTATTTTGGTGAAATTTAATACTAAAATTTTTAAAGAATTTCTAGAATGTTTTCAATGAAATTTATACAATCATTTAAGAATTTTTGCTTAGGCTTTTTTAGTTCAGTACAGTAGACGCCTGCAAGGTCATTTGTATTGGTAGGAATTCCCAATATGCAATATCATATATATTCTACCACACTAAAACCATAATCTTTTTTGAAAGAAGTTGAGGTTTTGGAGTGGGGATAGGGTTTGGAGTAGGGCTGAGCCATTAGTCTTTTTGGTGTGAATATCATAGATTACCCACTTGTATCATCACCTGTAATAACATTGTCAAGCCAACTCATAGTTTTGAATCGAAAAAACATCTAAATTTTGCAAATTCAGAGTCAAATCATTAAAAAACTCAAACCAAGTTTTGACAAAAACCATAATGATATTTTGATAGCAAAAAATTATAATGATATTTTGATATCTAGGGATTGCTCAATGAACTTGATATTATCAGATTTTAGGGTCAACGGAATATAAAAACGAATGTATTTTAATTTTTTTTTGGATGCAAAGTTTCAATTTTTTTATTCAAATTTAATGTTTATTTTAATCAGATTTTGATACCAATTGTACACTTGTTTTCACTTGTTGATTGTTCACTTATTTTCATTATTGCCTTCACAATTCTTTCGCATATCTGGAATTCGACGTTGATATTCTTCACAATTTGTAAGACATATTGCAATTGAGTTTCATCTTTTGTCAAGATTTTAATGTTATCTGAAACAAGTTTCACCCCTCTTTTGGCTGTGTCATTCACAACTTTTATAGAATTAACAATTTTGTATGCTTCCTGGTATTCGGTTACTGCACTGTCTAGGCAATGATCCTTCCATTTATTCCAACCATTTCAAATACATATTTTGATCTATTTGTTACAAAGTCATATAAGTTCATTTTTACAATTGTATCCATTAATCCTTTAACTTCAAGCCTTTTTACCTGTTTTTTTTAAGCTGGCTTTTTAAGTGCAATCAATGTTTTTTCTTTAATTTGGTTATCAACATGATTGCTAAAAAAATAGAGACTCACTAAGTCTTCAGTTAAATAGCATAAATGTCCTGCAATGGCTTTTATGGCAGATTTGGCAACTTCTTTGTCAAATATTTTGAAATTATCCAACTTATCAGTGTCAGGTCATTGTGAGGAGCAGGTGAAGAGATGGGAGCCTGAAAGGTTATTCTGTCTTGAACTGAAGGAATTTTTCCTAAAAAAATTATTGACAGTTGCAAAAATTCTTTGTAATCATCGCGAGGTTGTTTTGTTCCTAGCAGCATATTTAAAGTAAATTCTATTGCTGATGGTACAAGTGAACCATACACTTTGAGATCTGCATCAGTTAAGAGACAAGATTCAGAATTGAATTTACTCCACCAATCACAAAATCGTAGAAACAACTTGACCTCTGGACCAGAAGATGCTCCAAAGCAAGTTTTGAACTTTCAAAATTAAAAAACTGCAAAACTAAAAAACTGGCTGAGCAACTCCTAAATATTAACATATTGCATCAAAAATTTCCCAATATCATTTTTTCATTAAATGGAACCAAATAAAAGGTTGAGAGCATAAGTAAGAAAAAAAATATTTTTTCAATGCATTTATTTGTCATCCTATTGTACATGTTTTATATCACATAGATAAGGATGATAAAAAGAAACTCTTAAATAGCCATTTAATTATATAAACACAACAATGCAACAAGCTATTTCCGCAGTTATACCACCCGCATTCTACAGCAACCATTAGCCAACCATTCTACAGCAATCATTCATTCACCAACTATGAACATAAATAACTGCATTAGATATAGATGAATCTAAAAGGAAAACAATAGCATTACCATGTTTGCCACCACAGATCTATTCGCACTTGATGTCTTTGTAGGTAACTTGGTTACCTACAAAGACATCAAGGAAAACATCAGGACTTTGCAGCAATGTTCAATAAGGAAAAGTATACAACATCATGTAACTGGAATAAAGAACTTGCAATTAATAATACCATTATTATTAATTGCAAGTTCATATGTGAATACAAGATGAACCAAAAGCACAAACATATTTACCGAAAAAAAATAAATGAATGGTTCAACCCTGCTAATCTTGTACCATATAGCAAACTAGCATTGGGACCACCTAAAGTATTGATATTGCTTATGTGAGTTGTGCAAGAAAAGGTAAAAAGTCCAGTGGAAGACTTCCAAGATCTAAACGATTTTGCAAGTTGTCACACAGCAAATACAGACGTTTGTCAAGAGAAACTGTGCCAATAGAGAAAAGTAAAAAATATAAAAACTGTTGTTCTAAAAAAAGCAAATCTTCAAACTCACATTAAAAAAAAATTATGGGCATATCAAATGGTGATTATAAATGAGAAACGGTATTTAACAGAATTTAACGGTATTGAACAGAATGTGTTTTGCCATCAATATGGCTCCAACAATAATGACCACAATTCTTTGCCACGTGCTCAATGTAAACCATGAAGAATGCATGTAACAACTACATTGATGATATATTTGTTAATGAAAGTGTAGAAACTGCAGAAAAACTTGTGAAACCTGTATAAATTTGGATTACAATGTAAACCTCCGGAAGATCTCAAAAAAAAGTGTTTTAGGATTGAGAATGGAAAAAAATAAAAATGGGGAATCGATACAGAAACAGGACAATGTGGTACAGTTCAAATCTTTAAATGCAGTCTCACGATTGCAGCTTTTCAGCCAGTTAGGTAGTTCATTAAACACTATCTGGTGGCAATACGAATTTTTTTTGCCGACCGCAAACACATTAAGGTCGGCAGTTAGGTCAGCATTGCCGAATGCCGACTCTAATTCTGAGGGTTGATATATATCTTTTATTTCCAAAGATTGTAAAGAAAAATTGAGTTGTTTCACTATGTGAAAAAAAAAACTCACAAATTTAAACAGTTTAAAATATGACATAAAAGGTAACCAAAACAGTTACAGAAGTTATTGGAAAGCATGAAGAAATATTTTCTTTATTTGGGCTGCCAGATTGTCTCCACGTTAACAAGTTTTAGTGAAGAATGTTATGTTAATTCAGTAAAGATGTGCTTTACTGATATACTACAGATGGCCAGCAAACTTATTGCTGGCTGCTTTGGAAATAAAAAAAAATTTTCTGATTGAAAACTAGAGTTTTTCTTTCTGGTAGCAAACTGAAATGCTTTCATTAAACACACTATGATAACTGTGATGACAATTTAAATATCTTTAAAAACAAAAGTGGTCAGTTATTAGAACAAATTAAAAAATATTTTGTTTAAATATTTAAAACTAAATCACTTTATCTCATTAACAATGTTAAAAACAATTTATCTTAACTCTAAATTCTTATTGATATTTCTTTCTAACATTACTAAAGCAAAATATGTTTAAACAGCAGAGTTCGCATATTGTTAAATAAAGAAGTTATATTCGTAATAAAGTATGTCATGCATAATTTATGCATGACTTTATTTAATTTTAATTTATGCGGCATAAGTTAAAATTAAAAATCTCTGTGCAAGAAAGTCAATGATTTATTTCTTCTATTTAAAAGCTAAATTCAGCATAATATTTTTTTTTTTTAAATTCCCATTAAACCATTTCATATTATCTGCTTAATTGTAACGTTGTCAAGTCGAACCATTTGCTAACTTGTACAGTTTTTTTTAGTATATTAGAAAAAAAACTTGGCTTATAACTTTTACTTTGAATTGCATAAAACTCCATGTAATAAAATATCAAAACTTGCAACACTTCAATAGCAATTCCAAACTTAAATGTTTAAAAAAAAATTACACTCCATTATAGTCAATATATATATATATATATATATATATATATATATATATATATATATATATATATATATATATATACGTGTGTGTATGTGTATATATGTATATATATATATATATATATATATATATATATATATATATATTTTCTGTTAAACAAAGGTTACATGACTTTCTTCCAAGTTTAAAAGGTTCCGCCCTATAAATATTCTTCGACCTAAAAATAGGATTTGAAAATCCCTGTTTTTTTATTTCCCAGATTCATTTAAAAAGTTCTGTGGCATTAGCTTTACTTTCGTATTGAAAGGAGTTTTCATGTTTGTACCAGCGATCTTTTAAGGTGTGCTCCGTTAAACCAATATAATTTAAATTAGGGTTGTTCGCCGAAAAACAAAACTTGCAAAAATTTCGCATCTTT